TCTTCACAACGAGGAGAGAAAGAAAAAGTAACGAAAAAAAAAGAAGACAAAACGAGAGAAAATAAAATGACAAAGAAGTAGAATCAGAAGAAGCAATGGAAGGAATCATTGCAAGGAAGAGGAATGAGAACTTTATCCAAAGGACAGGTTCACTGCGAGTATAATATAAACATTTGGAAAGAATATTAGTAAAGGAAATAGAAGCACATAAGAGAAAAGGAAAGAAAATGAGGAGGATGTTTTAAAAGGTGACAGTTAAGAGCATGAAGAAGACATAGGGAAAGAGAACCAGGAAATAGAAGGGAAAGAGAGAAAAAAGAAGGGAAGCAATGGCAGAAGAAATTGAAGGAGAAAAGGATATAACAAGGAAGGTGACTATAGAAGAAAAAAGTAAGAGAGAAAGGGAGCAAGGAAGTAACAAAGCAAGAAGAGAATGGAAACAAAAGGAAGGAAGATAAAGGACCTGATCAGAAGGCACCGACCTTATCTTTCCACGCTGAGAAGAGCTGGTCCGAAACAGCCTTTCCCTTCTTCTAGCACCGCACTCTGGCGCTGATATACCATAATTGGCAATAATATACCATAATTGGCAATAATATAGCATAATTAGCGCTGATATAATATCATAATTGGCGCTGATAACTCCAGCATTGATGGTCTCCACCGCGGCGCAGGAGGCAACTGGCGAATTGCCGATGGGAGTAAAGAAGAGCCAAGATTGGAAAGGAGGATAAAGATTATGGCAGGGCAATAAAACAAAAGGAAAAGGAGGAGAGGAAACAATAGAAAAGAACGAAAATACTAAAAAGGAAAGAATAGGAAAAGGAAGGGAAATGCAAACCGATGAAAACCAGAGAAATGACGGAAGGAAGAAAGGAAGGAGAAGATGAGGGAAAGAAATGAACCTATGCAAGCAAATAGAAATCTATAAAGAAAAGGAAACAAGAAAAATAAGCGAAGGACAGAGGAAGAGACGGCAGAGGGGATGGCCATGACGGAGCGGAGGCAGAGGCGCTGTCGCTGTCGCGTGTGCGGCGGCGGAGCAGCGCACGGTGTCGCTGCAGGCTCAGGAACGGCTCCGTGTGGGCGGCTCCGCCCCGGTGCGGCGGAGAGCCCGGCTGTGAGCGCGGGGGGGCGGCGCGGGCCGGGCAGCAGAGCCGGTGCGTGCGGGCGGCGGCGGGGAGCCGTGCGGGGCCCGGGCCGGGGCCGGCAGCCACAGCGGCGGCGGCGGCGGCGGCGGCGGCCGGGAGGATGGGCGAGCGCTGTTGTGCGGCGGTGCTGCGGGTGCTGGTGCTGCTGCAGGCGGCCTGGGCGCTGGCGGGCGGGCAGGTGCGCTACTCGGTGCCGGAGGAAGCCAAGGCCGGCACGGTGGTGGGCCGTCTGGCGCAGGACCTGGGCCTGGAGGCGGGCGAGGCGGAGGCGCGGCGGCTGCGGCTGGTGGCGCAGGGCCGGCGGGCGAGCGTGGAGGTGAGCGGGGCGAGCGGCGCGCTGCTGGTGAGCTCGCGGCTCGACCGGGAGGAGCTGTGCGGCAAGAGCGCGCCGTGCGCGCTGCGCCTGGAGGTGCTGCTGGAGCGGCCGCTGCGCGTCTTCCATGTGCAGCTGGAGGTCACCGACATCAACGACAATGCCCCCGTCTTCCCCGCCGCCCGCAAAAACCTCAGCATCGCGGAATCGTCTGTGCCGGGGTCTCGTTTCCCGCTGGAGGGCGCGTCGGATGCGGATATCGGAGCGAATGC